TGACCCCCCATGCCAGCACCCACCCCAATCCAGGGCTCCCTGCAAACCCACCCAGCCCCTCCAAATGGTCCCTTTGGGGTCTGGCCGACCCCTCTGTCTTCATCCCACCCCTCTGGGGACAGCCTGGGATGCCCGCCCAGGCTGGTTGTGGGTCACTGTCCCCCCCCAGAGCAATATTTCATTAAATGGGTGCATGGTCCCAGGAGAGATGGTGCAGAACAGTGGTTAAAGCAAGGGGACAGCGAAGGAGGGGTACAGCCACTCATCCCCCTCCTCCCCATCGTCCCCCTCGCGCCGGGTCCGCGCTCACGTGGGTGACGTAGACGTTGAAGACGATCCCGGAGATCTTAATGACGACAAGACCGACGGATTTACCGCAGAACCAGTCCCCATGCTGGAGCTGCCAGAGGGGAAGGGGAGTGGGTCAGGGCTGGCGAGGCTCCGTGGGGCCGGGCACCGTGGCGCTGCGTGCCCCCCCTGCCCCGCTCACCATGTAGGGGTACCCGTTCAGTGAGTACTGGTAGAGGAGGGTGTCCAGGATGGGGAACCTGGAGAAGACGCAGAGGCCGCTGCCGAACACCCCACTGCGGGAGGGGAAAAGCACAGTGAGGAAGCGTGGTCCCCCCACCTCTGCCTCCCCCCCAGCCCCAAGCCAAGGGGGCTCCCCGGATGCCTGGGTCCCAGCGCGCTCCCAGGAGCATCCCACTCTCCAGGCACAGCGTCTCCCACGGTGACAGAGGTGACTGACAGCACCCGTACCGCTCTCTCCGTGCGGCAAACACTGAGGACGCGGCACAGCCCTGCAACCACCCCACGCAGGGCCCCAGAGGGGGCTGGCCAGCCCCTCTCACCTGCGGAAGTAATGGGAGAAGGGGTAGCAGCCTCCCAGCTTCGCCTTCAGGTCGCTGTAGTCCTGCTCGCTCCACACCTGGAGAACAGCAGGACAGGCTAAGAACGGGCACACTCATCTCACGGGTTGAGAACGGGCACACTTGTCTCATGGCTCACAGGCTGAGAATGGGCACACTCGTCTCACAGGCTGACAACGGGCACGCTCGTCTCACTGCTCCCAGTCTGAGAACAGGCACACTCATCTCACTGCTCATGGGCTGAGAACGGGCACGCTCGTCTCACTGCTCATGGGCTGAGAACGGGCACACTCATCTCACTGCTCATGGGCTGAGAACGGGCACGCTCGTCTCACTGCTCATGGGCTGAGAACGGGCACACTCATCTCACTGCTCATGGGCTGAGAACGGGCACGCTCGTCTCACTGCTCATGGGCTGAGAACGGGCTGAGAACGGGCACGCGCGTCTCACGGCGCCCAGGCTGAGAACGGGCGCATTCGGCTCGCAGGCTGCCCTCACCTCCTGGAGAAGCACCAGGTCGAAGCCCTCCTGGCGCAGCATGTCCCCGATGAGCCGGACGCGCGTTTGCTCAGGTAGCGGATGGCCCTGCCGGAAAGGGGTCACAGGGGTCACGGCTTGGGGGGGGACGGAGCGATGGGGGCTGTTGGGGCGCGCCGGGACCCGGTACTGGTATGGGCAGGATGCAGACTGGGGGAGATGGGAGGGGATGGGGAAAGGGAGATGCGGGGACATGGGGACAAGGGGAAGTGCAGGGAGGCTGCGTGGGGACAGCTTTTCCTGCCT